CCTGTCCAGCTGAGGAGGGGAGTGATAGAGCGGCTTTGGTGGGCACCTGGTGCCCAGCCAGGGTCAACCCACCACACAGAAACTTCTACCAAAGCATCAAAGTTCAGGAGAGCAGTGAGCAATTCATACCGACTCAGAAGAACTATCAACAGGGTGTAAAACAAGATGTTTGCTCTTCTGCCTTGACTGTACGGAGAGTCTGCATCTGGCAGCACTGACAAATATTTTGAATTGTTCAATGCTTTCTGGAACAGAGGCAAAATAGGTTATAGTCTGAATACTGCCTGAAGTGCTTCTCCATCTTAAAATAGTCAGGACGGTGAAAGGATTAGAAATCTCTGTCACTCGGGACAGTGCCTGAGCTGTACAATTTTAATCTTAATATAGCTACAGTAAATTGCAGAAGCAGAGCTCTGAAGAGTCATCCGAGCTTGCAGTTCTGCCATGACAATGCAACTCCAATCAGACTCTTGGCAAGCAATCCTTGGTTTCAGAAGACAATAGGTAGCAGCAGCTACTGGATACAGCAACTATTCCAGGCACTAAAACACAGTAAAAAGAACTTGGACAGTTAATACCATTCATCTGAATAACAGTAAGAGGATGATGCCAGCAGATCTGAAAGTTCTGGTTAGATTGATTTAGTTATCCCAATGTAGGTTAGTTCCATTCCTATAAAGACCCTGCTTCAAGACAGAAAAGATCATTTAGTAGCTGATATAGGCAATAAGCTAAGTCAATTTTCTGTTACTACAGTAAATACATCCATTGCTCTGAAAACATAAAAGCAAGGAACAGCTTGTTTTATTTTACTGCACAGATACACTCCTGAGTTAAACGTATGAGTAGCATATTCTCTCTGCAAAAAAAGAGCAGACAGAATGAACGGATCCATGTCTGAAAGGTAGCGCTCAGTTCAGGGCTTATTTGACTGAGCTTACAAGTGTTGGTGTCACCCCAGGGTGGCAGAGAAGAGCCCTGCACAGGAGCAAAGGGCGTTTGATTCAGACTTCTGTGGACTCAGAACCCTGCACACCAGCCTCCTCCAACATGCGCATGCACCTCCTTGCGATAAAATTGCTACAATAGGAAATCATTCATCCCCTGAAAAAAATTCATGTCGCAGACAGCGTATCTATGCGTTTCCATTCACGGCAGTGACTGGTTTAGTTACAAACAGTGGCATACCACCATCCAGAGATGCGATTACTTAAAATAAACCTATGTAAACACATACCCTTTTATAACTTATATATAAATCTTTTATATATAAGTTTTATTTGTGTATACATAGATATAAATACGCACACATACACACACAAACACACACCCCTAACACAGAGCACAGAACACACACATGGAAATACTGTAAATGATGCTGAACTGAAATCTAAGAATATAATTAAGAAATTATTAGCAGGTTTAAAATTGAGTTAAAAAACTATTCAAAGTGTCTTTAATATTTATGTTCAAGTAAGGGCCAGAATGACCACAGGTTAGTACTGATAAAAAGAGCTGGCATTATATTTCCCATATTATGCCAAAACTCATGAGTTATTTCTCATTGTCAAACTCATTGTCATTTCGCCATCAGAGTGCCTCATCAACAAGAAAGATTTTTTTTTTTAGGAAACAGTGATTTTAAAGACTTGGGTTAACAAACAATATTGTTTCGTCACCCTCAGTCATAAACTAATCCCAAAAACCACACACACCTTAGAGTATCAGAAGGGAACTAGTGGGACTTGGACATCCACACCCACAGTATTCAGTGGCATGAACAGGTCTTCACAGTAAAAAAGGCAGTACCGGAGATGGGGGATGAAAACGTGACACAGTGGTGGCCTTTAAAACAGCAACATTTACCAAGAGTGACTCTCCAGTAAACTTCTGAGATACCACAGATGCTCCATATTCAGGACATACAGAACCATGGTGGTATTTCAGAGGCGACTGCGGGTGCAAGTTGGGTTTCAGTGGCAGCTAAAGCTATCGTTTAGATGTGCTCCAGGGTGATAACAAACACCTCTAACAACACTGCAAGGATTGTTTGGGATATTTAGTATGGCTAAAAACCCCGGTACCAGTGTCTTATATCAGAAATCACTTTATTAGAATGTAAATGTAGTGTACAAGCACCAAATCATTTTAGTTTAACTGTTTAATGGACATTCATTATATAAATGACTAGCCATTTAAAAGAGAGATCTTTAAAAAAAGATTTTTTTTTTCCCCTTTTTTTTTTTAAATCTTTTGTTAAGATTATTCACTATTTCTATTCTGATAGAAGACTCTGAAGATTACTGGTACCCCAGTGTGTATAACCGTGAGTCGGCACACACACACGCACACACAACTGTACACCTCACTGCTACATCAACAGCTTTTTAAATAGAGAGCCCCAGCTCTGGCACCAGGACCTGTACATCCTATATATTATCTTTGTGCATTTCAGCATCATTATCACCACTCAAGTTCCACGTTTATCGCAAATCAAGGTGGTCTTGAACGTAAGAACAGACTGTCCCTCACCCTAATAAAACCACGATTAAGTCTTGTAATTTCTTTGCTCTTCTGCTGTTCAGCTGTGCAAATCCAGGCAGATGTGCAGACTGCAAAGCTGACTTCCAGTCTCTTCCAACCCCTCACCAGTCCGGCATTATCACACAGAGACGACAACGTCAAGATAGAGTCTGTCGTAGGACTCGCGGAAGCACAGGATGAGGAGCAGGCTGAGCAGACATGATCCTGGCAGGCACCAGTTGAACCAGGAAAACTCTGTAAAGCAGAAAACAGACCCAACCTCAGAGTTATCAAACATGTTCCGTGTTTAAAACGACCAAAACTTTCACTGATGGCGGGTTTGAAGGAAATCGCTGTGTTCTGAACAAAATCCTGACAGCTCTCGATCGATACATGGTTAACATGGTCTATGAGACTTCCCCATGGACACCTTATGTGTGTGTGTGTATATATATATGTAAAATATATTAATATTTATATTATATATAAATATATTAATATATATATTTTATATATATATGTAAAACCAATGCCTCCAGCTAATGTTAATCCTCCTTATTCAAACTGTCAGTGGAGAGAACGGGGGGAGGAAATCTATCATTGCTAACGGAGAATAAACCACTTCTGAAGACTCTACTCATTAATTCTTTGATTTCTATGGATTGAAAACTAAAACAAATTAAAAGCGTAAGAAGAAGCAGGATTTGATTTTGAATCAAACCTGCTACAAGGTATAAGGGGGGAAAACCAATCGCTCAGAAGAAACTTGTGAGTAGCACAATCAATTCAATTTGAAACTAGTTGCACAAACAGCTCCTCAGAAGCCTCTTTTTAGCTGTTACACGTAATGTACTGCTCTTAAAAGCTTGTGTTCCACATTCAAGAAATCCTATCGTCTGATATTTGACTACTAATTAGCAGTTTTACTCAGTTCTTTTTTTTTAAAGAAGTGCACCACAATTTCCTTTTTTTTAAATCTGTCAATTTACTGAAGAAACGTTAATTTTACTGGAGATGGTGTTTTATCTTTTTTTCCCTAAGTTTCCTTTATTATTATTATTTATTTATTTTTACAGGATCTAAACTCTCCTTCAAGGTCTGTGTTAATCAAAATCAAGACTTCAGCACTACTACTTTCTTAAATCTGTAATTTATATTGCTAAAACAAAAAGCACAATTTATATTACACAATGCAAAGGACAAAAGTCAGAAAACCTAAAAAATCAACCTTCCAAAGCCAGTAACCTTCAACAACACCCTCCCTCATCCAGCAAAAACCCTTACAGATTTGTTTAGGCAGTAATCTTATTAAAACCTTAGTAAAATTTTTGTAGGCTTGGAGAAGACCATGTTATATGATGTCAGAAGTCAATAGGCAAACGCTTTGCTACTATTTTCCTTATAATACTCTTGCTTAACTGGATTAAACAGACTTTAACCCAAATATTCTAAAAGACCAAATTTAACTTGTGAATCCTTCGAGTCTTTTGTAATCCAGAATTTGTGACAGCATGGGCGATACACACTAACACATTGATTGTGTGAACCTCCAGGTCAATTTGCTTTTGTTTTTCACTTGGAAGTCCCTGCAGAAAAGGCAAAGGAAACTGCATCCAGAAGCTGTGGCTTTGGGTCTCAGGGCACAGTACCAGCAGGGAAGCTGAGCTTTGGAAAGGTTTACATCTCCACCGTGCTAGCTGGACCAAAAACCTTCAGTGCACTGGAAAGTTTCCAGGACTTGGCTCTTTCACAGCCTTTACAATATCAGAGTATGAAGAGGAAAAGAGAGAAATCCGAATTAAAACTACTAAAGATTATTTGGCCTAAAAAAGCAAGACCGAGGGAACAAGATGAATTTGACTGAGTTCTGGTTTATCTGCAAGCTTCTTAAATGCCATTAGAAGATGTATTTGAATCAAATGAAAGACAAATGTTTAAGATTGTTATCTACATTCTAAAGGATTTTTTTATCAAAGGAGCCAATAGCACCCACTGGCATTGATCCCTCCCAGTGATCACGTGTGCTCTTGTACTTTTGATCATTTGTGAGATCATGGAGAATGGATTGTCCTAAGCACAAATTACTTTATATATATTTTTTTTTTCCTTTGAAGAAATAGGGAAAATCTTCCAAGTGTATGAATATACTACTTTCAGGTTTATCCTTACCTGCATGTACTGATACCTGCTAGGGAAAGAAATACTAGAGACAAAAAATGGGCCCAAATACCCTATTTATAAGGGAACAAGTTTACTTTATCATATTCCTTCAGTCAGAAGTTAGACACTGTATTCCCATCCTCAATTATGAAGTAATTCTAAACACTGGATTGTTACTCTGAAAAATGCTGAAAAAATTCTCAGAATATTCTGCATAATCTTTTTAGTTCAGTTCTAAATGTTGGAAATAATAGTATATGTGAACAAAGTTCACACCAATGAATCATAAAAGCATTCTTTAAAACGTAAAGACTAAACATCATGCCAACCAAGGCTAGCAGGGATGGAATTCAGATTTTACAATGATGCAGTTCAATGTCAGTATCAAAAAAACCCAGAAAACCAAAACCCCAAACATTTCTCTCAGTTTGTGTTCACAGACCACAATTTGGAACAGGGTTGTTAGCCTGCTTGTGATTCCCTGGCAGAAACACACAAAAACCACACTGAAAATTTGCCCCAGGCTGTAACCTTCATAATTTCAAGCACAATTCATTCTGAAATTTGTCAGTCTCCTCTTGGTTATAAAACACACCATATTAAGAAGTACAGGCACTCATGATAATATATAAAAGCTCACAATTTCTAATGCTTTCAAAGCAGAAGTAAAACACTGCTTTACAAATTTTGCATCATGAAGCAAATGTTTACCACAGCAACAAAATACAAACCAAAAATCTGCACGTTTGAAAACCATTAATAAAGACCACTTCCCTTTGAAAGCAAGATGGGTTCTTATTTTACACCTTAAAGTAATAATATATGTTATAGCCTAGTAAATAGCAAGTTGAAAATTAGGATTATGAGTTATGAGGAAGCAAATAATACTTAAGAGTTGAGAAAGTCTGAAGAAGTTGATGAAAATGTCAAGCAAACCACTGTTGTGCCTGATTAGGCCACTGGATTATCTAAAGGAATGAATATTTCATCTTTGAGCAGTGATCAACGGATGCTCTCTCCCCTGCAATGGTATGTCCAACCCACTGAATGGAGCTGACCAGAAATGGAGCATTTCTTCTTTGCCCTTCCTGGGCAATAAAGTTACACCCCAAAGCATGAGATTGGCTTAGTTTTATTGTGGTTTTGAACACCCACAGATACAAACATCATTAATGGTCACATTACCCAGGCTTTTATAAAAATATGACAACAGTGTGTATCTTGAAGGTTTCTGGCTACAGCAAATTCTAAGTGGAATATGACTATATGCATCTTGCACTAAAGCATTTCATTTTTATTAGCATGCATATAGAAAAGAACAATTAAAGTTATTCTCCTTTGCTGCTACATAGGGGGATTCAAACATTTGATTATTAACAGAAATTGTATGTGCAAATCCTCCCTTTACTGACAAGGGTATGTCTTAATGGAGAATTTTATTTTCAAAGTAGCTTATATTTCTTACCTGTATGGTAAAATGTGAGGAAAAACAAAAGCACTCCCATAAACACATTACTCAAAAAGGTGACAACTCCGCAGGTAATTCCTTCTGGAACAGGGTAGACTGTCTCCACAAAGAGCTCAAAGAATATTGGTACGCTGCTGTTGAGAAATATACCCAACAATATGCAGGATGTGTACAGTGTAGCTACAACAGAAACAAAAACAGTTATTAATTTCATGCTGGCATTTTTTCCCCCTATTCAGAGCTGCCAAGAATACCAATACTTGAGTAACTGAAAAATGCATAGACTTATTTTTGTCCTCTGTGTATCATAAAGCATATCACATACCACTAGTTTTAGGCAGAATGCATGCATTGATTTGGGGTGGGGAAAAAAAAAAATCAGAAATACTGATTTTTTTTTTAAACACAACCTGTGAAGACACATTCAGTGATTTGGAATTCACTTGTAAGTAAAACAAACAACTAAATTATGAATGCAAAGCATCACCTACAGTTTGATTTACCTCTGAAATGAACAGAAACTATTGTCCTACGCACAATTAGGAAAGGGAGCAATTAATGCACCAAATTGGAAATGGACATGGATTAACCTTTTGACTTAGCTCTAAAGGTCAAAACTAATTTTGCTTCCATTTTACACATAAATACTAATGATCTACCAGATATCAAGACATTAGTATTCAGCACTGTCCAAGCTGCAACATGTTGAATCCCTTTTGGCTTCAAAAAGAAATGAAGGGCACCCGGCGCCTGGCAGGAACGGGACCTATTTGATAATGCAGATTATTCACTGCTGTACAACAAATTCTTTTTCTTGGACAAATCAACAGAAGAATAAAGACATTTCTTCAGTAGCCTCAGATATTTTGTTCTACAATTTCTGACACCACCAAATAATTTACAGTGCTTAATATCTTAATATAGATACTTAATATACCTATATTATCTATTAATAAGCCTATTACAACCACTTCTGAAAAAAAGAAAACTTCAGAAGTTTTAGTACCTATGCAGAAATGTAAATAAGTCTTCGCTGATTGCTGTCTTGGGAAGGGGGAGATTTCCTAACCTGCAGCCTCAACAACCTGAGGTTACTGATCAAGTAAAAAGTGTAAGGAAATGATTAGATGGCTTGGAAAAAAAAAGAAAATTCTGGAATAATTTCTGAGGTTTCCACCAAAATGACAAGAAAAAGTAAAGAAAAACTCTTCAGATACAAAAGTGTTACCAAGTCATAGGGAAATTATTTATAGCATCTTTTCACTGCAGTATGGTACAAAATCCTTAGACAATTTTTTTTCATATACATATATATGTTTATATAAAATAGAAACTGCATTTTCAGTTTAATTTACATTCTTGTGTCTTGGAAAGGGGAGAACTGAAACAGTTCTGCTTCATCTTCTGTTAAGCATTGCTCAAGCTTTCAACTGAGAAACTGTAAGGAAGTAGGAAACTTCCAGCTTAAAAAAAAAATAAATTAAAAAAAAAAATCACTGTTTCTTAAAATATGAAGAATCATGGAAAAGAGATAAAGGCACTAAGAAGCAGAAAGGGCTATCAGATCCTCCATTTGATGTGGCTTGCTTCCAAGGCACAAAGACGTATTTCTTTCTCTACAGAGGATTTGCCTGGCCAGGAAAAAGAGGACAGAAGCCCCAGCCAGAAAGATGATATAGACAGCATGACTTCAGGAGGGACAGCTGGCCCCTGCCTTTTTTTAATATACCAGAATGTTCTGAGTTGTTAAGAGAAAAAAAGGAAAGAAAAAAAGAACTAATAAACCATGGTAACTTTTCCAACTCTCAAATTCTCTTATTATAAACTGCAGAATAAAAGTCAAAGAAATTGATGTAAGGTATGTTCAAGAGTTGTCAGAGAGGAAGGAAAAAACCAAACCAGTATTAGGATGCTCTTCCCAATGGGCTCTTCTAGCTAACACTGAAGAACTGATTCCCTAGTTACAAGATCCATAGATTTTTGCTGCAAGTCCCCATCAGTATTTAAAATTTCATGAACCTCTCTTTCAACTCCTGTTTACCTCAAACACCACTGCACATTGCTCTGTCTCTAACTGCTGTCAGGTGTAGCCAGCAAATCCAAACATATTCAGCTACTTGAAACTTTTGTGTTGGCTTGAGAAACCAACACGTAGATGAAACAGAAGAATCTCTTAAGACAAATGAACATCTGTCCCTCATTACAATCAATTGAAGATATCTACAGATAACTACTTGTAACTTCTGGAGAACATTTTCAGAACTTTCCCTAAAGAAAAGAAGGTGGTAGCCAGCTGTAATTTTGTATCAGAAACTCAAACAGTGGAAATAGTTGTGAAGCTGCTGAAAGCCACAACAGCATCATTGAAAGTGGAGCTGCATACAGAGAGTGCCAGAGGCAATACCTCTGCAGAAAGACCGAAACCTCTTCCATAAAAAGCAACAGCTGGGAAAGAGGAATCATGTGTCTCTGAGTAGAGGCAATGCCTAGATGTATATTTTCCAGAAACTTAGATTCACTTGAGATGAAGGCAAAAATACACATCTAAGATTATCAGCCATTTAAAAGATCAAGACTTCAAATTTCAGTCAATACAGTAGATGCCAGAGTTTCCATAAAACAGAAGCCTTCAAAATAAATTCAATAGTTTAAAATATGCTAGTTGAATTACATCATTGCTCATCACTTACTAAAATGCATTAAGCAAACAAGTGCAATAACTCTATACTTTAGAAACTACACCCTTACATTTCCTTGTCACGACAGCTTGCCTCAGTCATGCAAATACACCCATCAGCACACACCTCACACTTCCATACTACCATGAGCAAAGCAGCTTTAGCACTACCTTTTGGTTCTCCCCAAAGTATTACCCGCCTCCTGTGTGCACGCCAAAAACTGCCAGCTGAATACCAGTGACATCACTTCAGCTGAGATTGATCACAGGTACTTATAAAACAGGGTCTATGTATATGTACACACATATTTGGAATTAATAAGCGGAAATGTCAAGGCAAAAGGACAGGCAGAATATAGCGTCCAGTAGATGCCGATTTAAGTTCTAAGATCTAATGGAAATGACAGCTTTTAGCTGGCAAACCACAAAAAGAAGCTCTGAAAGTCTCCCTTAATGGCTATATCTTGTAGTGATGGGAAAATATTTTTTATTTCATGTTCCTATAAATCATCCAGGGTGTTCCTGAGTGCTATACAAATAAGCTTATTCCATTAACTTGGCAATTAAGTCACAAATCCAATTGGTCAATTAGACAGAAAGTCAAAGATAAGATAGTTTCAAAATACAGTTTCAAAAAATAAGTTACAGGAAGAAGTCAGGTAGGAGTTCAAAAGTGTTTTTTGCCTCCTGTTTCATACACTGAACAGGACATCTCACATTCCAGCTCATGGGCAACAAGATACTCTAGCAGGAAGAATACCACCTATTAACGGAGACCATTTACTTTCCATTACAGCGACCTTGCATCGAACGAACACAAACAATTACCAAGATTTTATACTGTAGAACAGCTGCTAAAGTTACAGTGAATGTTTTTTCAATTAAGACAATCTTGATGACAGTCATTGGAAATTAATATAAGGATATGAAAGTGCTGACAATAAAAAAAAAAAAAAGAAAGATGATTTACCAAGAAGCTAATATTATGTCCTAAAGCCTAACAAGAACAAACAACTAGCTCGGCTAGGCATACATTGGGGAAGCATGTCATGCTATTAGTATGAAAAAAGATCACTTTTACTTAGGAAAAGGAATTAACTGCCTATGAAGCTATGCACAAAGTTGTGCACCCGAGACAGTGGCAGCTGTGGACATTAATAAATAATGGAACTGGGCTGGGCTTCTTTAAACTATTTTGATTATTGTTGTGTTTTAAAGACATTTGTGTGAATTAAGCAGCTATTTCTCAGCCTGGCCACTGCAAAAAGATGAGGAAAGGCAAAACACCCATCCGAAGCACAGCTGCTTCAGAGAATTGGCATGGAGCTGCTGCAGCAGGAGGCTCAAGCTAGGCTGTGTCACGTCATGTTCATGCTTGAGGTGTGAGGCAACCCATGCTATTCCCTCAGTGCTTGTTCTCCTCCTGGCCAGGAAGGAAGCGAGGAATGAAATATGCCTTGATAACAGCACTAGAGATGTTACCAGTTAGATGAAGCAAGGTACCGACTAGGGACTGATGGTGATACAGTGGCTTAGCACAAGAAGGAGAAAAAGCAGTAAGAAGGAAGGTTCCTTTCTGGCTTCCTATCCCCTGCAGGTCTTCAGCTACCAGATGGCAAATACATGCCCGTATCCCAGAAACAGACTTTCTTTTCTCCCAGCCACAAGCTGTGGCAAAAGCTTTATACCAATAAAAAAAAAAAAAATTAGGAAAAAAAAATAATTACGAATTCAAACAGCAATGTGATTTAAATGACAGTGTACACTTGGTGTCCCCAGATGAGCTTCCAACACAGCAGAAGGAGTCTCAAGTACCTCTGACATCCAAACAAGTTCCCAGAACTTCCCAGGAGGTTCTGCAACATGTTTAGCAATTTACTCTTAAATTATACCATCACTAAATGTATAACTACAGAGCCTGATCCAAACCCAAATGAAATTAATGAAAGGACCTCCACTGATGTAAATAGTTCTTACCAACCCATTGGCACGTACATCTTGGCTGACTTTTAACAGAGAATATGAAATACTACCATTTCTTAAGGAAAAAAAAAAAATATTTTGCAGATAAATTTACAAAGTAAATGCAGACACTGTAGAGCAGTATCAAGTGCAAGCAGGTGGTACAGTATCTTCTTCCAAAGTCCTCAGTATCTTCTTCCAAAGTCCTCTGCCAGAAACTCTTGAACTCTGTACATTTTGTAACAGTTCTCAGACAAACTGAGCCAAGATTCACACAAATTTCGTATGGATAAACAGGAAAGTAAATACAACTGAGTATGTTCTCTTGGGTGCAGCATACAATTTAAAGAAAAACCTACTGAGATCTAGGGCACTTTGTTATTGCCCATTATAACAGTATCCCAAATGCCAGAATGAAAGGATAATGCCTCATGTGGATGCATGCCTCGTTGGCTTTAGTACTTTAGTAGGCCTATGAATGATCTGAACAATTCAAAGTTCATTCCTACCAAACTCTCTAAAGTCTGTTAAAGCGGAATGA